TTTTTGAAATCTATAAATAATTGATGTACGGTCCCACTGAACTCCCATTTTTTCTCTAGTATCTGACAAATGCAAAAGATCTGATCAATCGTTGATCTGTTTCATCTGAACCCACACTGATGATCCCCAATAATTTCATTTGCATATGGGGTTAATCTTGCCAAAAGAATGTTTGATAGAATTTTGTATGAGGTTGATAGCAGAGAAATTCCTTGGTAATTACCACGCTCAGTCTTGTCCCCCTTCTTATGAATAGGAATAATTATGGATTCCTTCCATTCTTGTGGCATCTCTTCCTTATCCCAAATTAACTGAATATGCTTATGGATCCTCATATGCAACCCTTTGCCACCTGCTTTAATTAATTCAGCTGGAATTTGATCAATACCTGGAGTATTTATAACTTTTCAACTTTCCAATGGCTAGTTCAACCTCATCTAAACTAGGTTCTGGTACTAACAGTTCAGCTGTATGTATTTAATCTGTCTGATATCATCAGTCTCATGAACATTTAAGAGCTGGCTAAAGAAATTTTCCCACCTATTCACAATTTTTATTGGATCTGCAAGCAAATTGCCACTATCATCTTTTACCAAATTGGTCTAGGGTTGATATCCTTTCTTAAAGTTATTAATGACTCTGTACAGGTCTCTGATATTTTTTTCCCTATTATTTGTCTCAAGTTCAGCAATTTTGCCCATCGGGTATTCTCTTTTCTTATTCCTAAAGGTTCTACTAGCTTCACGTCTGACGTTACTTAGATTATCCGCATTTGTTTTGTTTGGGTCCTGCAACCATTGAAATTTTGTTTGCTTCCTTCGATCTATTAATTTGGAACATTCTTCATCAAACCATGGTTTATTTTACTTTCTCCTATAGTATCCTAGTTCTTCTTTGGCTGAAATTTTGATGCAGTTGCTGAGATTTTCCCACTCCCTGTCTATATCCACACTTTCATTATCTTCATCTGTCTCTAAAATTTGAAATCTGTTCGAAATTTCAACTTGATATTGTTCTTTCGCCTCTCCTGTGACAGCCCACTCTGAGTTCGATTCTCGAGCAGGCGGACCTAAGATAGACTTAGACTGGACTTTTGGCGATTACTCCAGTTTATATGCAAGGAAAGCGGCCTAAGTTAGTTTTGTTTCGGTAGCGTCTTCCTTAATCGGAATTTATAATCAAATTGTATTGAATTTTCCCGAGTTGATGGTTAGTATCGCTAGTTCAGGCCACATCTTGGGAGACTTGTTTGTTCCACTGGGTGACTGCCTGGCGCTGGCTACGTAACTAGATGAATGGGTGATTTTATGATCGGTGGCTCGACTTGGTGGGATGAGTAAGCTCTTCCAGATGTGTTTTAGCCGTTAGAAGACTTAGGATAAATCACGTCACTAACCACCAATGGGTTTAAAATAAGCTATCGGCCGCAAATTTGTAAGGTTAGGGTGATGAACCACTCAGCCAATGAGAACACTCTTCAGATTCAAAAGTCTTGGGGGAGTCTTGCTGAACGCGGTGTGTGTCCAGCATGGGGCTTCCAAAATCACTTACGCAGCAGTCTCGACCGCGGGTAGTCCTGCACTCGGACAGGAGAGGAAGGAAAGAATAAAAGTGAACTAATACAGAATTATTGGACTACATCCCCTCGTATCCCACCGCCTCGCACCTTGCTCCTGGAACCCTTCATAGCCACCACGTATATTCCCTGAAGGCGAGAGTCCATGCCCCTGAGCTACCGAAACGAAACCCAACAGAAAACCCCTTGTAACCAGCCGGGCGTCCTGAGGGAGAGTTTGGAGTGAAAGGATGGTTACACTCCCTCACTTAATTTTTTCAAATCAAATCTTTCTGTGTCAAAATTTTGCTTAGTTCCTCTACTCACTTATGCTACCACCAGATAATGGTCATTGTCACAATCTGCTCCTCTGAATGACCTCACATCAATTACATTTGTCTGCCTTCTATTATCTACTAAAACATGATCTATTTGATTGTGTGCTCCCATCTGGAGAAGTCAAAGTGTATTTATGAATATCACTGTGTGGAAATTTTGTACTTTTTACAATTAAATCTTTTCATGTAGCGAAGTTTACTGCTCTAATACCATTATCATTACTAAGCGTATGGAGACTCTCGAATTTTGCTACAGGTTTCATTTAAGCACATTTTTATTAGACCCACTAGCTTCTTTGGTATACCAAATTCAATAAGAATATTATATAACACTTCTCTCTTCACAGAGTCATAGGTTTTTTTTTTAAATCTATAAATAATTAATGTACGGTCCCACTGACGTCCCATTTTTTATCTAGTATCAGACGAATGCAAAAGATCTGATCAATCGTTGATCTGTTTCGTCTGAACCCACACTGACGATCCCCAATAATTTAATTAACATGTGGAGTTAATCTTGCCAAAAGAATGTTTAATAGAATTTTTTATGAGGTTGAAAATAGAGATATTCCTCTGCAATTACCACACTTAGACATTAAAGACAATAATATCGCACCAACGTCCTTCCAAAATTACATAAGACAACCGGTCACTAACAAATTCCACTCTCTTAACTGCTGCCCTAATTCTGCTATGAACAAAAAAAAAACCTGTCCCTAACTGATGATTTTCATTCCCCTTTCCATAGAAAAATGTGAAATTGTCCACTGGGATCTTGCCCTCCCCCTCCCATCGCACCTCTTGCACTGCCACCAAATCTAACTTATGATTCTCTAATTCCCTACTCACTGATTTCAGTGCCCCAGCCTTATAGAGACTCCTAATGTTCCACGTTCCAAATCTCGTATCCTTTTTCAATTGCCATGGTCATGCCAGAGAGTCCATCCTGGTCTGAGGCTTGGTTAATGTGTTTGTAACAATGCTTTTTTTAAGGTGAAAGTTTTTAGCCTTACGCCCAACCCCCAGTCTATAGGACCAGGGTATCACTCTTAGTCTAGCACATCGCTTTAGACCTGTCTGGCTTGGGTGACCCTACCATGAACCAAAGATCTGGCCGGCATAGCCCTAAGGGTTATTTGAGCACGTAAGCCTCCTCACCCAGCAAATTGCCTTCAACAAGGTCTGTGTAAGACTATGAAAACCAAATAACAAAATTAATAACATTATATTTATGTGTATTTGAAAATTGTAGAGGTGGTGGTCCATAGGTTATTGCTAATATATTCACATGAATATGTAATTGAATAATGAATATGTAAGACAAAAATAAATTATTATAGTCGGTTTTTTTGTTTATTTGATTAAATATTCTGGAATCAAAAGAGTTTCATTGACATTTTATAGACCTTAATGAAACAGTTATTTATATTTTGAAATGTGGTGAGCCATTTTTGAGAAGCTTGGAAAGTATTGTTTGAAAATGTGTCTGTCTGTAGCCTGACAGCAGAAGTCGAGTGGGAACATGAATTGATAGTGGTTTGGTAATTATTTTTTATCAGGTTGCTGAAGATGATAAATACCCTAAACAGATATGTTTGAGTTGCCTGAAGAAGTTAGACACTAGCTTTGAATTGTATTCAGGATGTATGAACGCACAGAATACCATCAAGAGGCTGCTGAAGAAGTTCACCCAAATTGAATCAGCAAAAGATAATTTACCTGTTCAAACTCCACTTGATCGGGTCCAAAATGATGTAAGTTTTATCTGTTAAATATGAACTTTTCTCAAATTTTTGTTCTGTATGTTATTTTATCTATTTATTCATTCATTCATTCAGCATGCCCCATTACAAGACTGCAATATTACATGCATTAATGTATAACATGTTAACAGATTACACAATTGTAATATCGTGATTCATTGCCACCGTTTGTACCTATGTTCCTCTGCTAAACTGTATTATAATCTATGGATTTAATGAATGTATTAAAATGACCTAAATATTTTTGAACAAGTGCTTCATGTAACACTGGCCATGTGCCACCATTCTTGGCTATTGCATCTATTAATTTACGCCTTGGTTGTTGTAGTTTTTCGCAGTCATAGATGAGGTGATCCACTGTTTGTGCTGCTTTCAGACATGAGCATGTTGGTTCATCAATGATCCCAAACCTGTGTAGATATGATTTGTTTTTGCCATGTCTAGTCAATATTGCAGTTAGTTCGGGACGTATTACAATGTTTAGCTGCGTTCGTTGCTGCACTGATGGGAAGAATTTCTTGCATACTGCTCCTTTATTGGTGGTGTTCCATTCATTTTGCCATTTTATAATCCCTTCTTCCTTTGTTTCTTTAATAATTGTACTTTTATGCTTCTTTGCATATACTACATTTCCACCATTTTCTGCTGCTATTTCATTACCGAAAATTCCGATGTGTGCTTTGATCCACCCAAAATGAATAGTCCAATTTTGATCATCGAGTTTCCTTAATTTATTTCTTATCTTAGATATTATGAAGCCGTGTTTGAAGTTGTTTTTTAGTAGATCGAGAGAAACTTGACTATCTGTGTACACCGCTACTATTCTTTCCTCAATGCTGATGTCCCTTAAAGTTGTTACTGCATCCAAGGCCTCTAGAATTCCGATCTGCTCAGCCTGATTGTTTGATCAATGATCAGGTAACTTGGTTTTTAAACTATGAATTAGTTCTCCATTTTTGAAGATAACAGCAGCAGCACCCACCCTTCCCTGGTGTTTACTTCCATCTGTATAGATTTCCACATTGTATTTATTGAAGTCTTTCACTTCATCAAGAGTTATTCTCTCCGCAGGATGAGGCCATTCCTTCTTGTTTAATGGTGCTTCGTACTCGGTAGAGTCATCTTTCAGTCCGTGTGTAGTTTTATATATCTGCACTGCTTCGATAATAATGCAGATAGGCTTAACCCCGGCAACGACACATGAGGCTTCATATGATAGTGTTCTGTAGGCTTTCGCTATTTTAATATTAATCAGCCTTTGTGCTCTCTGTAGTTTATATATGTTCTTCTTTTTCTGTAGGCCTTCTTCCCAAACAGGAGCTCC